CGCCCGGGGCGCGAAGAGGTGGGGAAGCGGGAAGGGAGCCAATGAGGCTTTCGGCTACCCTGGTGGAGGCGGGTTACAGTGCTAGCCACACCCCTCTCTGTGACACTACCTTCAGCCTCCGCGCGTTTTAATGCGATGGTGTCCCCACGCGATCAAACTTGAGCGTCACAGCTGGGAACTGGCTTCGCGGTCCCTGATGGGAGAGCATGAACAGGTGGTATGTGGTAGGTGGGGAATAGAAGCGGATCTGGAGCTTAGCGGGCGCGGGATTCACGGGCTGGGGGCGGGGCTCAGGCTGGTGACCCCGCCCCCTTCCCAAAGAACTCTCCCGGGATGGACTGCGGAAGAAACCAATGAGGGGCGAAGGGGAGGGGACGCACGACAGGGGACCCGTCTGCAGTCAGCACTCGGAAATGCGTCTTCCCTTGTCTCCGCCAAGCTTCCCAGAGCTCACAGGATCCCCACGTCCCAGGGTCTCAGCGTGACATTCGAGAACAAACGCTACCGTATGCCAGGCCCTGGAATGCATTAATTTACTTAACCACAACCCAGTAATAGGGACACTGTGACATTCCATTGTTATTGCTGGGGACACTGAGGCAGGGAAAGGCTCAGTAGCTTTTTCTTTTTTTTTTTTTTAAAAAAAAAGAATGATTTTATTTAACATTGTTATTTATTTATTTATTTTTAAAATTTGACCTGAGCAGGACAGAGCGCGCTCCTGAGAAAGACAGAGGGACCGTGAGAAAGCAAGCCGCCAAATCCAGGACTCGAACCACGGTCAGCCATGTGGGAGTCCAGCACCCCTAACCACCATACCACCTGTCTGCACCCTCAGTAGCTTTCTGAACACCAAACAGCTGGGAAACTGGGACTTAAGACAGAGGGGGATAAGAACCCAGGCCACCCAACTGGACAGTCTTCTTGCTTAATTAACATGTACTGGAAGTGAAGCCTTCCAGGGAGCTGAGGCCGGGACTCTTGAAGGAGCCACCTAGAACATGTCAGGCATAGGATAGCTTAGTACGTTACAGGGTGAGTGGGAAAATCCAGTAAGTGCTTAAAGGCGGCGTGGTACTCAATCTGGTGCTTAGAAAGTATGAGCCTAAGAAACAATTAAGGAAGGGCTAGCAGATGGTATGGTGGTTAAGGTGTTGGACTCCCACATGGCCAATCATAGTTCGAGTCCCGGACCTGGAGGCTTGCTTTCTCACTTTCCCTCTCTGCTCTCCCTGGTGAGCACACGTGTCCTACAGCAAATTTTAAAAATAATAATACAGATGGCATAGCAGTTAAGTCACTCAACTCCCACATGGCTGGACATGGTCTGAGTCTAGACCCAATGGCTTGCAAACGATGCTGGGCCTGTGTGCATGGATGTCCCAGGAGAATGGGGGAGTAGGGACTGCTGCATGGTCCTCCCTCCTGGGTGGAGCTTTCTAGATTTCTCACTTTCCCTGTCATTGTCTCGCTCTCTGCTCTCTCCTGTGAGTGCATGCACCCTAAGGCAAAAACTTCTCAACAACAACAAAATAATAATAAACAATTAAGGAAAAATTAGGGAGGTTATACTGACTAGGGTTTTTTTTTTTTTTTTTTTTTGGGGGGGGGGGCGAGTTTTTCTGTCGCGC